CGGAAGGGAAGGGAAGGGAAGGGAAGGGAAGGGAAGGGAGGTCTGAAAATTTGAATACTCAGATTTTACTTGAGAATAACCATTAAACCATTCAGTATTTATTTGTGTAGAAACCAGTTGTGGAGTGGAATGGCATATTTGCTGCTGAGAGTCATCACAGTAAGTGAGTGAACCAGCAAAAGGGGTAACATGAAGGTCTGTGTGACCATGCAGGAGTCAGTGTCAGGACATATTAGTTCTTCAAACACTGAAGTTCAACTCATACTAGAATCATTCTTCCTTTGACGCTGACCACTTGGTATGTGATCATATATCACTGCATACAGCATTGTAAAATGCTACCTTATGATAGTGCAGTAGACTTTCCTAAAGGGACCGACCTCTGGTGTGAGAACTCTCAAACACATTGAAAATGTACCCACTAAAGGAATCTATAAATCCCATTAAAAAATACCAGTAGACTGGCTATATTTTCTGGTTCTCTTTGCCTGTCTACAAGTGGACAGCTGCCAAGGAAGACAACAGGGCGCTATTTTAGGCAAAATATGCAAATGCAGGGCCACAACAGAAAATATCTAACACCTAGATCCTTATTACACTTTTAAATAATGGATTTCTTTCATCTGCCATTTTGTATAACTTCAGTACATCTAAAGATTTACTTTTCTATAATGTATGATAACCAAAATTTTTCTCAAACCACTCTGTACCTCTTTCTTCTTCTCAGTAATACCCTTATCATGATTCCAGCTTATAAATACACATTATAGAAGGTACCAGCTGACACATATGTTAATTGCCAGGATGACTACATGGCTCAAAGTTGAAAGACACTTGTTAGTAAGGGAAACACTCTCAGTCACTAACGGCACTTAAACTTGGGCAGAAGGTGGGTGACTTTCCTAAGAGTGAGAGAGTGTGACCTCTGAGTTAAATCTTACAAGGGTAGGGCACACATCTTCTTTACAACATGTTGGTATCCCCTAAGTAACAGCAAACAATGACTGGAAGCAATAGACCGATGGTGTCTATGACACATATTACGGAGATAAAGCCAGCCTGAGAATTACTGTCTTAGAAACCTAGAGATAAAGACATACTGCTCTTCTTGGGGACTTTTTTAAAGCTATTCCTTCTTTAATGCAAAAAAATCACTGAATGCTGAATAGAAACAAAACGGTGACATAAACTTTTCACATTCCTCTAGTCAGAGTCCACTCAGTAAATCTACCCTCTTACAACAATAAATAGAAGGGATCTGACCATCCACAGGCAGCAGAAAACACCACCTAAGTCAGGAACTTCATATGCAGGAGCAGAGACCCCAGAGAGTCCTCTGATCCACAAAGTCCACTGATGCTGGAGAAACTGGGTACACAGAGCCACTTCTGCTGGAAACACAGTCTCACCCTCCTACCCTCAAAGAAATAAGAGCAGTCACAACTGGATGATCAAAGCACAGCCGGGCAAACTCAGCTTTTATCCTGTACTGAAAACTTTCATAACCAAAGCTGGGTTTTGTCAATGGACACATGTTATTTTTAACCAGAAACTTTTTTCTTTATTAATAAATTAGAGTAAACATCACATTTGTGTAGCTGGAAGGGCAGAGACCATGTTGACAGCTCAGAAAAAAAGTAATTCATGTACTGAGCTCGCTTTATTCATTTGTAATGAAATAAGCCAGACTTCAAATTTTTAACAGTGCCTAGTTGTTTCAACCATCTTCATGGGGCCCATTTCTACTTTTCTGAGCTTTCTCAAATGAGTAATTATGCCTGGAGAGGATGCCTGTAGCATTCTCCATAACAAAAAGAAGTACCAGATGATGTGCTTCTGGAACCAATGGCCCAGTGCTCACATTCATAAAATAATTACAGGCAGAAGCAGCATAATATCCGAAATGGAGCCAGCCTTCCTGAACCACTTCGTCTTTTCAGAAGGATGTGCACCCCTTTCCTGATACATCACAGCTATTTCTAGAATAAACTCAGCATGCACCAGTCTCCCTGCTCTCAAAACAACAGCGAATCCAATAAGCCATTTATTCACATTTAGCAGCTTTGGAAAATGTGGCTAAACTGCAGCTCCCACAAAGAGTTCATGGGGATCACAACCACTACAACCTACCACATCACACTGGGCTTGCAGTAGGTAGCAATCAGATTGGCGGGTGAGACAGAGCCCAACTACAGGGCCTCTGTCCAACTCCTGTTAATGGTAGTTTTTAAATGGTTTTAAAAAATAAGCACAAACTCTTTTTCTTAGGCAAGTAACTATTTGTAACACAATATATAGTAAATACAGTATGCTACAAGGGTAAATATCTTGATATTTTGTAGTAATATATAACCCAAGACCAGAAAATCATAAAGTAATCCAGGGTTTTTAATATTCTTCATGGGAAGGTCCTAAAACATTTTATTGTAACCCATTCTAAGTATCTCCCTAGGCTCTTTCTAAAATTTGGCCAGACTCAAAAATCTGCAGGTTTATTTCCAGCACTGAAAGTCAATCTTCCCTTTGCCTCTCTCTTTCAACTATAAAGTGATAGTAGCAATATTTATCCCACATATAGCTCACAAATACAAGTAAGAGATAGCCTCTGTGAATTGGTATGAGATGGCAGTAAGCAAAGTGCCTCAAAGATGCTTGAAAAATAATAAACCCAAACTACCAAGTTCTCAAACATTATAGGCCACAGTTTGTTTGCTCTCCCACAAACAGCATGAAGGCCTATCTAGTCTGACATCCGACATCCACCACTCAGCTGGTTGCCTTACAGCTTCAAGAAAAGGCTAAAAGAAATCAACCAGTAACAGTAAACAGAGAAACATGTGAAGCTACACAGAGTTATGCTTCTAAACAGGAGACTGGTAATCATGCTGCTTGTTAGGAATACCTTTGTAATAATAATGGAGTGGCTTTCCTCCGCTTTTAAAAGGCAAGATGATCATAGAAGTTCAGGCTGTCAGGTCTCCATGCAGAATAATGGAATAGCATGCACATTAAAACTCATCCTGGAAGGCAGGCCCAGTCTTGGCAGTGAGCAGCACGCTTCTTGTGGGATTTCTTTGATTGGCTCTCACAGGATGCAGCCATAGTAAATAGCCTCACTTTACTCCCCACAAAAACATAAATGAGACTCCTGACAGTGATTACAGCCTTCACTGGTTCAGAGGACAGCAAATGGATAAAACTATTTCCTGAAAAAATGTTAACATTCAAGGATATGTTGTTCAGATTATGGCTTTGAAATAGTTTTCTAATATTATTAAATTATACTCCCTTGAATTTCTTGGCTCCTCTTGTTATTTCAAATGATGCTATATTTCACCCCTAAATTAGGACCACCTCCAGTACAGAAGAAAAAAAGAATGAGCCAAGCAGGAATAGATGATAAGAGAGACACAAAAATGATTATGGTTTGCTACTCAATGCACGTGTACTCTTGTTAGACAAAAAGGCTTTTTAAAATAGGTTTTTATTTGCAGTTTCTAAAAGAAAAATGGTCATAAAAATGAAAAGGCGAGGGCAATTTGCTATAACGCTTTTTGGCATGCTTTTTTCTTTCAAGACCCAGTAAAGTTATCCAAAGAGACATAAATAAAGCCACTGGGCCTGCCTGAGTCAGCAGTTTGCCAGGTGATTGCTCAGATAGAACTGCAAGGCTCCCCTGGAATGTTTTCAAGCAAAAAGCTAAGTTACAGAAAACACAAATCACAATAATCCCATTAAATGAATAAGCTATGGTCATCTCCTTTCCACTGCTGTTTGTCCAAAGATTGCCCTACATATTATTCTCATTTTAAGTGTCTAATTAAACAATGGGTAAAAAGTACCTGAATGATCATTAACAATGGCCTGAATTTAGAGAGCAGAAGGAAATTTTCTCCTTCCTAATTTTCCTCCTACCCTGGCTCAAAACAAACCATGAGCCTCTTGTCACTGTTTGTTAATCATGCTCTGAACATCAGAGCTCTCTAAGAAGGACTCACTGACCTTCTCTTTCACAGGGAAAAACTAAAGGAAAGAGAAAGTCACCTTTCCTTACCCTAGGACCTAAAGAAAGCACACCCACCCCCAAAGTTCTTTCATATGGTAATTTTCTAATGTCAGCCTGAAGACACCACTTTCTCTTTAAACTACCTCAGCACAAGTTTAAGTGAAGCATTAACTTGTTTTAAACTAATTGCAGCCATAAGTCAAGCTTCCTGAACTCCAGGGAGCCCAGCTTCACAGGGGATGAAGACTTCAAGGTTCTGTGCTTCAAGGAACCAGCCACAGCTACGGCGACAGCTTCTTTTCAGTGTAAAAGGCATGTGGCAAAATACTCGTAACCATGAAGTGTGCAAGCTTAGGTGTGAAGCTTACAGAGTATGAATGATGTGCATTCACAAACCCAATACGAATTTTCTGATAAGACGCAGCAAATAAATGAAAGCAGCTGTCACCTCCACACCATTTTCTATGGACAGAGTGACTTCAGCTCTCGGATGCAGTTCCCTAATCTGTGAAATCTGGATACCACAGCCAGATTCTGCATTATTTCCCTCAACACCCTGGAGGCCGCCTCACTCTGTTGATGCCCTTGGCCCTGGGGAGCAGCTTACCTCGTGGGCACAGGGACCTCGGTCAGGGCACCCAGCATGACCGCCTGTTGCAGCCGCACAAAGGCGATGAAAGGCGTCTCCAGGAAGTCGACCTCCCCAACGAGCACATTAGAAGCTTCTGCATCACGGGGCAGTTTTTTCATGAATTTATTCTTCAACTGCATGGGAAGAGCCAAGAAAACACAATTTATTTCCAGAGAGGAGAACAAGAAGAGAAACCTCATGCATCAGTCGTACAAGTCTCTTTCTAGAGGTCTCCACACAAGAGTCCTTACCTGGCCACATACATACCGTTTTTTGGTTTTGGTTTTTTTGGGGTTTGGGGGGGTTATTTTTGGTACCGGGGATTGAACTCGGGTCCTTGCACTTGCAAGGCAGGCCACCAAACCACTGAGCTAAATCCCTAGCTTATACACCGTGTTTATACATACAATCAAAGTAAGCATCTAACTGTACCTCGGCTTAAACTGAGAACATCATAACATCATTTATATATAAAACTGTGTAAGATAACTCCATTCACTGATCTATTTACTCGTTCAGTGGAAGCTTAGCAAGTGGCTACTGAGAGCCAAGCAACGATGTAAGCCTAAGAGAGACAGGACAGACAGGCTAGTACTTGGCTCGCTTGACCCCATGTTTTCATAGCAGGGGAATATACATGATTTAAAGTAGTGATAGTTAACAAACAGGGAAAACACAGCAAGTCAGAGGCACTACCTGTACACATGGGAGTTGGGAGGCCTCTGTAGAAATACATGTATCAGGGACAAGATCTGGACAAAGAGCTTTCTAGGCAGAGAACAGCAAGTGTGGAGCTTCTGGACAGGAAGAAGGTTGCACTTAGAGGAGCAGTAAGAAGTCAATTGTGGTCGGAGCTGAAAGAGTCAAAGAGAGAAAACAGCCAATGAAGCTGCATGGGTTAGAGAGAATCAGGCCATGGTGCCCTCATGGCCGTGACGGACTCAGAAGTTTTAGGTGGGAGATGCCAAACGAAAGCACTAGTGGAAAGGTGGCGCAGGAAGACACTCAGGAGACATCTCCAGGTAAACAGTACTCAAGGCCATGGGATGGAGTGACACAACCCTGTGTGCAAGTACCGAGCAAAGGGTAAATTCTGTGCCCCGGCCACTCTGCCTCTTACAGGAGGAGAAGACAGCAGGAGAGGACACCAGAAAAAGAGCAGCATAGAAACAAGACAGAAACCAGGGCTTCACAACTGTCAGGCAAAAAAAAAGCGGGGGGTTAAGAAGGAAAAGTGTGTCAACCAAGTCCAATGATGCTAAAAGTTCACAAAGAATGGGAACTAGGAACAAACTGAGGATGTCGGCCAGATAGTAACATTCAGGGACACTGACCTGGCTGGTAAAGATGACACCAGGTGCAGAGTGAGCAGGGAGAAGCAGGGACATGGACAGGGAGCAGAGATCATTACCACAAGAAGTATTGCTATTAAGAGAAAATGTGAGCTGGGCATGGGGACACATGCCTATAATCCCAGCACTCTGGAGGCTGAGGCAGGAGGATCGCTGTGAGTTCAAGAACAACCTGGGCTACATAGTAAGTTCCAGGTCAGTCTCAATTACATAGTGAGACCCTTTCTCAAAAAACCAAAACAAACAAA